CACACACACACACACACACACACACACAGAGAGAGAGAGAGAGAGAGAGAGAGAGAGAGAGAGAGAGAGAGAGAGAGAGACTCACACATGCTTACACATGCGCTTACACTCATGTATACACACACTCATACACACACATACATGCATATACTCACACATACTCAAACAAATTCACATATACACACTCTTGCATATGTACACATGCACAAACATACACACACATGCATGTGCACACATACCCCAAAAACTGTTTATAGATTTTTGAGGCTTAGACAGAACATTTGAGCAATGATCCTCTGCCATTACTGTCGGCTTGAATTATAGACTGACTAGTTACTGTGAGCAGCTGGAAACGTACAATTTAGGAGGCAAACACAGAGTGCCTGTCATGACTGGACTCTGCTAGTGTATGAAGTCTAACTTGTGCAACCATCTCCCCGTGTTGTGAGCTCATTGTTATCATCTCTTCTGTCACATGAGGACCCTGAACATCAAAGAGGTTAAAGGTCACCTCAGGGTTACATGGCAAATCCGTGGGGCTCCTTCGCTCGCCCCTGCTTCTCCCCTCTGGACTTACAAAGAGAATAAGCAGTGCAGTGTTTCATGCTGCGGAACAGTCTCTCCTCATGTAACCGTGTCCAGGGATACTGAATTTTTTTCTAAAAATAACTCCTTCGATGACAGAGGCATCCATCTGGACGTTCTCCAGCCATTCCAAAGCCATTGTTTTCTGTGCTCAGCACCGTGGATCCCAAAGTCCTGTACTACTTTCTGCTGCCACTGGATTTTGAGAATAGAACTCTTTCCAAAGCAAAGCTGCTCTTCTGGATAGTTACTCAGAAATTTCTATTCTTTATTAAATGATGCAAAGGGTGAAAACGTGGTGGTCACTTAAATTTTCATCTTCAACCCAGAAGTGCTGTTATCTGTGCTCTTTTATTTGATCATAATAAGTTTGTGAGGCAGATTGAGAAGAGACTCCTTCCCTTTCATCCAGTGGTAGAGACAGAGTTCACGTGTGGATAGGTGACTAAGCCATGGTCATAGAGATAGATGGGCTGCAATAGAACCATGATTCAAACACTAAATCCCAGCAGTGGCAAGAGGGCTCGTCGGGGGGAAAAACATTTGCAACAATGCTTGACAGGTTGAGTCAATCCCTGGAACTCATGTAAGGGTAGAGGAGAGAACTGACTCCACAAAGTTGCCCTCTGACCTCTACAAACACGTCACAGCATGCACACATCCCCCGCACATCACAGTAAAAATAAAATAAAATGCATTCCAAATCTGCCTTTCTTTCTGTTCTTCCAAGCTTCCTTCTAAAGATGGTCACATCTACCTGAAGTTCTCTGTAGAATGAGAATGGACAGTGTTTCCTATGGGAGGAGGGAGAGAAACAGAGACAGAGACAGAGAAAAAGAAAAAGAATATACAACCCAAGCCTACTCTAGCTTTGTTCCAGGCTTCCTTCCTCATCTCCAGCTCCCATCCCTGGGCAGCCACCCTGTCACTCAGGCCCCATAAATCTACCTGGAGGGAAACTGACTTCAAATACAGTCTCAAGGGTAGATTATGAATCTACATCAACCAAACATCTGGTGAGAGCCTTTGATCAGGAAGATAGATAATGACTAAATCTAAGCTAATGAGAGGGTAGAAAATATTGCTGGGGTTTAGAAGGAAGGAAAATATGCACTCTTACAGACAGTAGATGATCCTTCCTGAAGGCCTGGATCCATTGCAGCCATTCTGAAAAATCATGAAAAGTAGCTTTTTGGTTGTGTATGAATCAAATCCAGAACCTCACCATGCATGTATGCAAGTATGAATGGATATACATCCATATTTATCCCCCTGCCTGTGTGTGACACACATTTGGTGATCAGAGGACAGCCTCATGTGTCTGCTCTTACTGTAGGGGTCCGAGGAAACACTGGAGGAAGAGCCCAGACTCAAATAGTATGCCAGAGCAAAGAGCGTTTATTAAAATTCCAGCGTGCATGCAGGTCGTACACCTGTACAAAATGGCGGCGCCCCTGACAGGAGCATGCAGGCTCCTTTTAAGCACAGCTAGGAGAATTTCAAGAGGGTTAGGTCATCTCAACTTAACTGGTTAAGCAAGCAGCAGTTACATTAGTACTTTTTTAATTGGCTGAGGTTTTATCTTTGGACATACTTGGGTAAATTAAAGGGAGGGGCAGGAACTGTCCTTGAAACACTGTGGGGCTGAC